ATCTGCCTGTTTTTACATGGAGCCTAGACCTATTAAGAGTTCTGTGCTTAAAAGTAACAAGTCTTAGCTTTTACAGAGAAGAGTTAACACTCAGACCTGGTAGCTAAAAGGCTTGGCCTCCTTAACCTGCCAAAAATATCTTGTTAGTCAGTTTTCCCATATTGCTCTGGTAGCTCTTTATTGTTTTTGAACTACAAGGCTTCCTCAGGATCTGAGTTCTTCCAGAGATTGCTAAGAGAGTATTGCTAGCTGTGTGAATAAGGAGGAGGGCATTCAGTGGAAGTGCAGCAATGTCAAACGTGTCCACAAATGTACTCTGAACACTCGCTGCAAACATTAGCAGAAGGACAGGTGCATAATCACCTTGTTGAATATATAATTGAAATAAGTATGTACTGTTGAACTGTTTGGCTTTCAGCTCCTGCAGGCAATTCGGGCTCTCTTTGAGCCTTTGTGTCGGAAAGGAAGGGCCAGTGTGTTCTTGCAGAGTGTTTGGCTGCATTGCAACAAACCTGGTTACTGATGCCCAGGCGTACTTTGATTGATGCAGAGATGAAATGACTTTTGGGAGTGGCTTTTGGGGTGACGTCCCACATACAATGATGTCAGCAAAAGATTTTAAAAAATTCAGGTGTGGCATAATCTGCCAATTAAACTGATTAGTGCTCTGGCTGAGTCCTGAGAAGGAGCTCTGACTACAGCTGTGCTTGTTGAAGGCTTTTATTTAGTGCCTTTGGCTCACTTGTATGAGACTTTTTACCTAGTACCTTCACTGCAGCACGCTGTAGATTGCAGTAGAATACTGTACCAAGGCTATGTGCTAGCTCTCTTGCTATCAGGGGAAATCAGCTACCAGCTCACAAATGTCCCTGACCACTTGGAAGCTGTGACAGTGGAAGAGGTCCTGCGACTCCCGGGGATCGAGATGGAATGCATTGCTGCTCTGTTGGCAGAAGTGAAAGCTAGCCAGGAAGCGATGCAGGCTGGGCAGAAGGAATTAAAGCACGATGTGGAAACATCTCAGAAGGAAATCAGAACAGTGTTAGCATTGCAAAGGAGCCAGCAACAGGTGAAGGAAGATCTCAAAGCAGAGATGAAGTCCAGTCACTTGGATATAAGAACTGTGCTTGAGGAAATTCAGCGAGTAAGAGAAGAAATGGAAGCTCGGTTAAATACTCAGGCTGATCTGGTCTTACTGATCAAAGAAGTGAGCACCAATTTAACGTGTGTAGACAAGGCTTTCCAGAAAATGGAGGAGAGGCAGAAAGTTTTTACCAACCTGCACCTTCCCACGAGAGAAAATGTTGAGCAAGGATTTTTCTTTGAAAAATGCTTACACCAGACGCACATTGGTTTTGAAAATCCTGTGGAAGCTAACAGTTTGGATGAGGAATGTGAAAAGAAGGTGCTTGGGGGTAAGACAATTATGACTTCAAGTGTGGAAAGAGAAGTGAGGTTGTTTCCACTAGTGCTTGTCCAGAAGCTTGTTTAGGCTATTTGGAATGCTTTTAAGAAATGTAATTTTTTTAGAAATTGAATGTCTTGCTTCTAGTTAGTGTAGACATTTAGTACCTAGAGCTTCCTAGTACATGATAAGCAAAGGAAGGCTTTGATTTGGTTCTGCAAACCAAAAAAGCACGTGGTAGATTTTTCATCTGGTAATCCAGCAACAGTGCACAAGATAGGGAGGCTCAGGAAACCAGCGGTACCTGAGGTAGCCAGCCAGACAAATACTGTGTCAAGTACAGGACAGAGCCCCAGCACTTAAATGTAACTTTATGGAACACACCCTCTGTACTGACAGTTGAGTATTTCTTGCCATTATATGGCTATTAACCACAGAAGCTTTGTATGGGAAACAGTTTACTTTATGGAAAAGCTTGGAATGGGTTTAATTTAACTCCCCAGTGAGTTAGTCTTGGCTGCTGTGCCATCCATGTAGTGACTGTAGAGGGAGTGAGAGGATTTGTGGACCTTTTCCAAGGTCTAGATCAAATCTTCTGTGAATGGTTCAGTGATCAAATGGCCTAGTCTTTGCAAAATAGCTTTTAAATTTTTTCTTCTTTCCTGGTATGAAGAAGGATAGGACCGTAGATGGCAATTCTGTTCGGTTACTGTGCTATATGCAGTACTTGCGAATCTGATTTCTAGTCCTCAGAAATGGAGCTTTTCAACTAGATTGGATACAGTGGTTTTGAACTTGTTGGAGAGGTGTCCAGAGCCTAATTTATGGATGGAATTTGTTCTGTTTTACAAGTCTGACTGTACAAAGGTGGCAGGTAAAGAGGCCAAAGTGAGAAGGACTTGGGCTGGTAACCAATACTGTCGTTGATGTGGTGGTATCAATAATCAGATTCATGATGCTTTTGTTTTGATGAAAGCATGGCTTTTGTTTTGACACTACAGCATGCTTTCTATACAAATCTGGAAACGATCTGTCATTGCCCAGAGGTATGTAGGCCATAAATAAGCATTGGAGTGTCGGTAGTGTTAATCTGTAAAGGCAGTTCATGCTAAAGGGGGTTTATGCTTTTCAGCATTTGAAGTGGCTGTGTGTAGCACACATCTATGATAAAATTGCCAGCAGGAATGTCACTGAATTTCACTTCATGCATGTTTTTTTGTTCAGCTTTTTTTTAGAATAGTATCAAGGACTGGCTTGCTTGGATGCTTGAATGAGCTTCTAGGAAAATACTTGTTGGTCTGGGCAGCACGATAAAAACAGTGGTATGAAACTGGTACAGTGATAAAGGCTGGCTGAACTCTGGATCCAGGGCATATCTGGAGTCTTTTGTCATTTGTGGTTAGCTGGTGTATCACTGTATTTAAATGAAATATCTTCATTAGGTAACTGTGTGATGTAATTTTTTCTCAGAGTAAAAATTATCTGCAAACATTTGTTCAGGTTTAATGCAGCTCTGTCAGGGTCCTAAAAATTGATGTAGAACTCATTTAAAATATTTAATTAAATTTTGACATTCACTAAATACAGTGTATCAGTGAATTTACCCAATACTCTTAAATCAAGATGAATGCTCTGGTTCTCTATCATAAGTGGAGCATTCAGGAGGGGAGCTGGAATATATGAGAGAGTAGGAGTATGTAAGCTGGTAGGGAAGGGAAGAGCTGACTGTGCGTGTTTATTGTCTAGTCCCTGCTCCTTTTTTTTTTTTTCCCCTCTCTCCTTGATTATTGTCTCGTGATTTTTCAAGGAGCTTCAGAAGGTAACCAGTATTTTCCTACATGCAATACTGTCCATAAGATTGCTGGAAATTTGATATGGTTGCTCTCAAATGTGAACTGTCATTCATGTAAAGATGTCTACTCAAAGGACATTGTTATATCTGAACTGTGAGAAAAGAAGTGGTCACATTAGTTAAAATGGTGGTAAAAAGAAGATAACTAGAACTGGCAGCCAAGCTTTAGCATTTGTTGTACAAATTTGTATTTTGATTTAGGTTATGTTGATGCACCTTTTAACAGCTCTACTCTTAAACTGCAAGATGATATGTTTCTAACTGAAAATATACCCTTAAACAGTCTGCATCTCTGAGCAGAAGTGTAGGGAAGTCTCCAAGAATACCAAGGGCATTTGAATATGATAAAGCAATATGCTATCAATTCTCTGACTAGCAGAAAATCTTGCCCAGAGAGGATTTATTTGGAGAATTAACAGACTCGGGAGGCACTTTATACCCATCTCAGTAAGAAAGACACAGAGAACATTAGTGTTTTGAACAGGAATCTTGTTTTCAAAGGCTTTGAAAAGAAATGGAGGCTGTGGGAGACTGATGTATTAATGCAATAGTTGATGTGGCAGTCAGGCTCACATTAACTGAGAATCAAAGCTTTTGTCATTAACACTGTCTCCAGTTGTGAAATTGAACCTTACACTGCTGGGACTATTCTAAAGTCACTTGACAACCTTCAAGCCAGGTGATTGGGCTGTAGAAAGGACTGCCTCTAGTTGGTTAGTTTGTCCCATTTTTCTGCATGTTCCTACTTTCTTTTTCTCCAGATCTCACCTCTCAGGTTTTTTCACTTTATCGTGAAGAAATCTTGTTAAGTTGAAACTATACAAAGTAATCTGCTTAGATGTCTTCATTAAATTGCCAAGGGATATTTATCTATTGCATCACCCTTTTATTTCAAAAGTGTTTGTTCATTCCCTTTGTGATCAAACGGGGAAGACTGGCCCTATCTGCACAGCAGTACTGTACTCCCTTTCCAGTCTGAAGGCAGCAGAGAAACCTATAACCTACACAGCGTTTACGAGTCAAGTGCTGGATTATGTAATGTGGCTTCCTCTGACATGAGATGATTGTGTACTGTGAAAGGATTGAGGTTGCCACATAACTACGAATATTAAATCAACAATGTAATTTCTGGACTGTGAATATATATTGAAATATATTACATTTTAGAGCCTTTTTAAAGTCTTATCCTTGTGACTGAAATTGCTGGCACTAAGAAATGCTGCAAGACCTCTAGTTAATAAGCTCAGATCTGAACTGCAGAGAGGGGAGTTTTTACAAATAAAAGTTTAAAAGGAAAAAAAATAACAAATGTAGAAAAAATGATTTTGTATTCAGCAGTATTTTAAAGTGCAGGACATATGAAATCTGTGTTGCAAATGAAAGTGGACAATTCTTATGTTAGAAGTAAGTTACTGTATAGGTAGGATGACAGAGATCTTGCATTTTCTAAAAATATTTGTTCAAAGCACAGTGAAAAGAGCATGTTGAAAAGTAAACCACAGAGTGTACATGAAGGTGAAGAAAAAGTGCAAAACAGTGTATCCAAGGTTATGGTGCTAGAAATTAACCTGGCAGATGATAGTGCCTGCTCTGCAGTGCTACTGAAATAACCCTTTCTCCTAGTTAGTATTTCAGAAAGTGTTTGTAAGAATTTATAACTACTTCCTTTTGCACCTGTCCTTTTAAGTTTTGGTGAGATTTCAACATAAAATGCATATTAATTAGTTGTTGTTGTTGTTTTAGTTGACAAGGGCAAGCAGCGGAGTCCCAAGAGCTCGTGCATACAGACTCAAGGCTCCACAGATGCACGTTCACCTGGCACAAAAGCAGCAGAGTTGACACAGTACAAAACAAAATGTGAAACCCAAAGTGGAATCATCCTGCAGCTGAAAAAATTCCTGGCATCCAGTAACCAGAAGTTTGAAGCATTAACTGTTGTCATCCAGCACCTGCAGTCTGAGGTAAAAACTCACAACTCATCAATTTTGGCTTTAATTTTTTGAACTCTTCTCAACAAGGGCTTCAGAAAATATTAATATACCAATACCTAAAATCTGTGCTTCCATTCCAGTGGTTTCTGTTTTCTTCTGGAGGTGATGCTCCTGGCATCAGTTGGATAGAAAAAAATGAAAATCCTGACACTGGGCTTTATGGCCTCTTTGCAGCTTCACATGCTTTTTAGAAGAGAAGTTTGTAGTCAAAGAGTCCTTCAGAATTGAGTAGCTTTCCAAATATGTACTTCAAGTTCTGCCCTTGTAGGAAAGATTAGTTTCAACATGTTATCTGCATGACCTTGCTTTATTATCTGACATTGGATGGAAGAGTATATAAGGGGTAGATACGTTTTTGAGCTACTCAGAATAAAGTCTGAGTTGTTACGGTTTTGTTTATTGTTGGTGGTATCTTAAAATTATCCTGCATTGTTGGTGGTGTCTTAAAATTTTCAATACTTCATTAAAAAAATACAGAAATGCACCTGGAAATACAGAGTGGAATAATCTGATGTGGTTTAATTTTTATTTGTTCTGTTTGAAATACTTAATAACGTGATCACTTTGATACTACAAGAGAAACTGTTGGTCTGGTTTGAAAACTTTTGAGAAAAGAAAAATCTGAAGTTAAGGAAATGATAACATTATGAACTTATACTGCACAGCTAATGCAGGCTTTAATAGCAGTTTCTCCTGTGTTTATAACTAATGTTCCAAGATTGGTGTCACTTTCATTTCAGCTGTTCCAATATGAAGTGATTTTCCAGTCTGGGATGCAAAAGAGCACTGGGTTGTCTTAGGACGCTGCCAGAAACGTAACATTCTCTTCTTGTGGGATAATAGCTGCTTGCTTTCATTTAATCTGAAAGTGCTGCATTTAACTCCAAGTCTGGTTCAACTCTAAAAGCAGTGGCTCTTAGCCAGTTTTCTGGGATTGGTTTGGCTGTTTTTTTAAAACTCTTGATTGGAAGACCTTTTTCTGCTAAGGAACTTGTTTAAGATCTTCAAAGCAATTTGATACATGATTTTTGGATGCCTGTCATCTAACACAATATTGTGAAATTTATATGTGAAATTGTCCCTGCTAAACTTCTGTGCAGTCTTGTAATTACTGAATAATAAGCACACTGATTTTTTTGGTAACTTTTATAATTAAATGTCTTGGCCTAGTTTCTTCTCTCAAATATTTTGTATTGCAACATTTTAAAGTTCACCAATACTTTATACATGTTATGTTTAGTGAGAAGAAGCCTGTCATACAAATCTGCTTCTTCCAGGCTATTTTACAGGTTGCTTAGCCTAAATGTGATTTTTTTTTTTTTTTTTTAGTTTGTTGTTTTTTTTTTTTTTTTTTTTTTTTTTGTTGTTTTTTTTTTTTTAAAGAATAATGGGGTTTTTAATTAAAGAAAATGTGGTATTGAAGATGGAGGGAAGAGAGAACTGCATGGAGGAGACTTGTAAATTTGCTCCTTATTCCTCTTTGTTAGTCTTTTGCAGATGGAAAGAAAAATTATTTCTGTCAAATTGTATAAAATTAAGTATCTTGGACAGTTAAGTCTGAGCACATGAAATTAATATGACATATACCAGTAATTGGTATTAAGATTGCTCTCTCCTTTCCCGGGATAAGACAATACTTGCTGAAGAGTCACTGTTTTATTCTTGTGTACATACTATAGGGATGAGAAGGACTCTTCTGCCGTGGTGGTGTAAGGAATACTCAGAATCTGTTAGTTAGCTGAAAGATTTCTATGTTTTAGGGAACACTGTGAAGAGTTGTTCTGGTTTTGTTTGTTGGTTTGGATTTTTTCCTTTAGAGTGAGATGTGGAGTCTGGTACAGCTAACTTAATTTCAGTTGACCATATGATTATTTTTCTGAAGTATCTCTTGAGGGACCCCTTTGATGTAGCTTTCAAACTCTTTGGATAAACTCAGGGAGAAACCTGAAGTTAGGTTTGAGTTCATGAGGCAGGGTCTCATAGGTTAACTACTGCAGAGCCAACCTAAAAAAAGCTTCAGCTTTTCTGGTTTTCAAAAAAAATAAAAATCATGCTTAGCTGATTACATGAGGAACAAAGCTGTGCTTCCTTTCTTCCCACTACAGCAAGTGGGAAGAAGTGAAGTGACATAATGCAGTGTAAACCTAAGAAACAGCTCTGGAACCAGAGGAAGGACCTGCTCTTGACTTCTATGGTGCTGGTCGGTCCCTACAAAAGACCAGTTCAGTTTGCAGAAAGCTAAACCAGCCAAAGAAAACATTTCTTTGCCAGGTTATGATGTGGACTGTCCTAATGTGTGGTCAGAGCTGGTGCAAGGGTGAGATGGGGTCAAGGACTGGACTGGCCAAACAGAAAGAGCTGGAGTGAGCAGTTGGAGTACTTTGAGGCTGAGCAGCCCAGCCCAAGCCTCTTGGCAAAATCTGCTCTGGCCTCCCCTGCTTTCCCTCCAGAGCTGAAGTTCCTGGAAGTTGATTCAGCTGCTAGATGTGTTTGGTTTACTTTTGTGTTTGTTTTTTTTTTTTTTTTTTCCAAGAGTTCCTAATGCCATTTCTGCACAAAAGTTTCAAGTTGCTTCTTATGAGCTCATTTGAAGTGGAATATAGCTGTGAATGAAATCAAGACTTGCTTGCAATGACTTCTCTCAGAAATGCAGCCAGCCCGTCTGGAGTGAAGTTGAGAGGGTACTATCAAATGGTTAAATGGGATTGAGCAATGCTGCTGTGGTGTTTCTAGCTAAGCAGGAATCTCTGGCAAAACACTGCCTGAGCTCAAACCTGTTTGTTGCAAGGGTTACCTTGTAGCTGTCAATAGTAACAGCTGCCTCTGATAAAACCTTCACACCTGAGCTGTCAAGTGTTTCTTTGGGGAGGGGGTGGGTTTCTCTGCTTAAGTACCTTCACCAAGACTCTTCTGAAAAAAATCAGAAAAACCTGATGTCTGCCTCAAAGGAGCTGTTGTTGCACTGGGTTAATGCTAGATGGAAACTCTCTTGGCATCCAAAATACTTGATGGCAGTGAACAGTGTGGCTGATGAGAACACCGAGTTTTTCCATTGTTGGACAGCTCTGTGTGTGCTGGCAGTGACAGAAACACGTGTCAGACTGTGGGCTAATCATAAAAAAAGCGAGTTTAGTCTTTCTAGACTATTGCTCTTCCCCTGGTCCACTGGCAATTCCTGTGACTTCATGACTATCTTCCTGTTTTTTAAATTCAAACGAGAAAGGAAAAGTGGCAGTACAGAGGAAATGGTGAAATTGGCCATTTACAATAAGTCCATGAAGTGCCAAGAAAGCTGTTTTCTGTTAACATTTAACTGCACTGAGCTCTGAAATTTGCACCTCTGCATTTGAGTTGATCTTTTAACTTCCCCAAGTATTTATTTTGCTTAATAATTTTGAATTTATTTCTTGTCCCTTCAGTAACAGATGCGTTCCCCGAGGCTTTAAATATATGGTTAGCATGTCTGTGGTAAGTCAGGCTGGGGATGCCTGCAGCTCTGCCGTCTCTTCCCTTATCCTTTTGTATGCACAGGCTTCTTTGGGAAGCCAGTTCAGGCATCTAGTTTGGGAAGGGGGAAAAGAAGTTATTATGGGTCTAGTTTTATAGGTCTGTCCACGTCCAAAGTGTTATGGGTATGTCCCGTATGTGGTTCACTGCAGGAAGGAGTGGGAGTGAAGACCCACCAGTGCTGGGGTGGGGTGGGAACGTGTACCTGAGAGGTCTGCAGCTGTGACTAGGAGCCAAATGCTCCCTTGGGAAGTTAAAAAAAAAGATCACCAGCTAATGAGGCTGAGGCTGTGGCAGCTCCTGCCTGAGCCTCTACTTCTTGCCTCCTGAGGGGTGCTCAGCCCCTCTCCCTGCCTCAGGGCTGCCCCCCACAAGGCTGTGTGAGTCCTGCAGCAGGGGTGTTTGAACCTCCAACTCACTGCTGTGTATAGACTCTTACATCTTTGGGGGTGGAGGGTGTTTTAGCAGCGTGGTAGTAGCTTGGTTTTAAATATGGTTTTAAATTTGTCTGTTTGAGAGATTCAGCCTTCAAGTGAAAAGGTAATGTACAATTAGAATGACTTCAATGGCTTTGTAACTGTTCAAAGCATGAATTGACAGATACTTCCCTTTTATCCTCTCATTTTAGTGTATAAACTGCCACATTCAGAACTACTCAAGCTGTTTAAAAATTTTAGATGGTAAAATGTTTATTATAAACACCCATTTTTATTCTCCTAGTTTAATAAACGATTCTAAGCATTTCAAGAACTTTTAACAGATTCTGCTATAGAAATGAGCTTCAAATTTGTGTTTGTGCCACAAGATACTACAGAGATGAACAGAAAACTAGTTTCACTGTTCAGCTTCTCTTGGTATGGTTATGGGAAGACTGGTATTTACAGTTGAAACTTGGGAATGTCTGTGATGTCATCTTCAAGAAGTTTCCTTCATAAAGGAAAAGGCATTTTGAGAGGCTATAAAGCCTTGACTACAATATGTGGATAACACTAATTGTGAGTGTGACACAGGAAACAACATGAGCATGTGCTAGAAATTGTGTGGCTGAAACAGGCTTCTGTATTTCTAGCAGGAAATAGAAATGAATTATTAGTATATGACCTGCTGTAACTGGCATTTCCTGACAAGTGCATGACTGTAAGAGTCGAGATACTAGTTTCCTTGAGAACTTCTTAGCACTTTAAAGAGTTTTATTTCCATTTTGGAATACATGAACACATGTATCAGAAATACTTGTTCTGGCCTTTGTACTGGTTCAGCAGAAAATGTTTATATTTATCAAATGAAAAATGCATATCCTGCTTAAGGAGCAGAAGTACACATTGCATCACTAAACCCCAAACCATTTATAGGAAAAGGAAGAGTTTTTGAACAATTGTATCTTTTGACCTGTAAGTGCAAAATATATTGGGAGACCTGTTGTTTAGATTTGCTGTCTTTAAGTTCAGTCTATACTTTTGATT